CAGAGGCATTGGTGGTGGTGGTTGGCAGGTTTCAGCTGGTGATGGTTGGCTTTTTCCTTTTTAAATAGCTCATTGATTTTGGACTGCATCCATCTCCAGCATTGTGACTACACTTTGTATAGTAGTTAACTGCAAACCAGAGTACACTTCTCCAGCCAAAGCTTTTTTGTTTTGTGGATTTCATTGCACTTCAACACATTAAGCAGACACCCCTATTTCAAGCTGATATTCCGAAATTCAGCAAAAATAAGTGTCAGCAACACTGCAACACAGCCAAATTAGAGAATGGTTTTGACTCCATATAGCTCTGAGTGCCAGTGTACTATATTACTTCTTTCCAGGGATGTTCAGGTCAGTTGATTACTGGACCCACTAAAGGTATCCAGCCCAAGACCCACAGAAACCAGCTGACCATTCCCATTCACCAGGGAGGATGCCAGATCAAAAACTTTATGCTTAAGGACTTTTGGGCATTAATTTTCAGGCATTTTACTGACCTCTAGAAGCCTCAAGCTCCATCCCTGCTACAACTAGGTTACACCCTCCACCTCATACCAGTTGCATCCTTCCAGTTGCTTGCTTGGATCAGATGACAGATAACAGGGCAAAACAATGTGTGTGCACAGTGACAGCACTGCAACCCCAGCTATTAGCAATAGCAGCTAGGAGCTTTCCCACCATCTCCCCATTCCATATAAAGTGGAACATAAGCAGTTTTGCCAAATCCTTTGAGTGAGGAACAAGAAGAGAGTGCTACAAAGCTAATCTATAACTGGGAGAATATGGGAGCATCTGACCCTGCCATTCGACCCCCCAAAGTTAAACGACTGATTTCAGAGAAACACCACAAAATTATTGCTTTATGACCAACATGCTTTCATTCACAGAAGAGCTTTCGCTTCAGAGGCTGCAAGTGAACAACCGCTATTGCTGGCTGTAAAAGCAGAAAGTGCAGCAAAGAAGAGTAATTGGATTTTTTTAAACTGCTGAGCTCAAACAAAGCCTTTCACTGTATCTCTGATACCTGCTAACTTGGTGACTGAAATGTGGTGTAGCTTTCAAACTATCTTGTTCTGCCTCTCTGCAGAGACCATCAACAGAACAAATAAATTACCAGTGTTTGGATTCTCGTTACCTCAAATTAGCCTCAGCATAAGACGACAGAAGCAGAACCAAGCATTCTGTGGATCCTTACATGGCACCTGTTAGCACTCCATAAGGACACAGAAAGGGGAGGCCAGGTTTCTCTCTGCTGTCTGCCCACAACAAAGCTTTCCCATCAGACTATTGATACCTCTTCTTACAGCAACTTTCAGCCTGCACACCCACACCACTTCTAATCCACTAACAATGAAGCAGTTGCCTTGCTTGGAAGCACCCCCAAAGAGTGCAGGGACTGCATGAAGAAATTGGGTGGGGAGTGGGTAACAGAAGGATGACTGTGACAAGTAAGATGTAGTAATGACTACAGGCACAAACCTAAGCTAAACCAATACCTTTGTTCACATGCAAGCCTAAAAAAGTTTGCAGCAAAGAAAAGAGTAGTTTCTAAAAGAGAATCTTCTGGGTACAAAAGGGGAAAGTGAGTTACAAAATGGAAGCATCCTATTTGATCGTTCATTTCACTGGTTTTGCTGGGCGTTTCAGGCTGCAGCCAAGCATTTCAGGAGCAGAGGCAGAAAGATGGGCAAATCTTTGATGGGACAAACTGACCTGTTCCAAAATGCATCCAAAACCAAAGCCACTGGTGAAGAGACACAGGGTGACATACTTGGATCATTACAGCAGGCACATTCTCCTGCTGCGTTCTGGCACACTTACACGTCTCACCCACTTACTCCAACTTGCCTTTGACTCCATTTGGAGCAAAGAGTCATTACAAACACATCTGCAGAGTGATTAATACCATGATTATGACTTTTAGGCTACACCACAGACTAAAACATTAAGAGAAAGTGAATCTAGCCGCTTTCCACGAAACCCTGCCCTGGGGGCCTGGTTACCTTCAACATGCTGAACACCCAAAAGATTTGGTGACAGTGTAGAATTTTCGGGAGCTGATTCTGATAACATGCTTCCCAAGCAGTGATATGGCTCTTTCATTCCCGCTTCCTTCCCCTCCTCCTGCCCTGTTACTAGTGGTGAGGGCATTTTAGAGCTTGCAGTTAATGCCAACATGCCCCTTCCTACTCAAATCAGGTGTAACAGCAACAGCATTGGAGACAGCAGTTCAGGCAAAACACATCCATGCAGAAGCTCGACTCATCAAGTGTTTGAGCAAGGACTGGGCTGCTAATATTGACAACTTTGAAAGGGGAAAACCAGCAGGA